TGTTGAAACTTTAATCCCAGTACTCAGGAGGCAGAGGCAGACAGATCTCTGAGATTGAGGCCAGCCTGGTCTATATAGTAAGTACCAGGCCAACTGGGGCTACACAGAGACTCTGTCTCAGAAAGACTAACTAACTAACTAACTAACTAACTACCTACCTACCTACCTAACTAACTAACTCACTAACTAACATAAATAAACAAAAAAGTGGGCCCAGGAAATAACCCTTTTTATTTACTTATTTTTTTAATTTTTATTTTATTTATTTTTGGTCTTTTTGAGACAGGGTCTCCCTGTAGCCCCAGCTGTCCTGGAACTCACTATGTAGACCAGGCTGGCCTTGAACTTACAGAGATCCGTGTGCCTCTGGCTCCCAAGTGCTGGGACTACAGGCATGTGCCACCACGCTCGGCTTCACCCTTTTTATTTTTTAGGTGACTTAGTTTCAGAGCTCTTTACTTTGTCATGATGGAAACCATGCAGGCATGGAGAATGGTTGTGTGCATGGATTGGGTGTCTCCAGGCTGATTGGAGAGTCAAATCCCAGCTCCACTATGTGGACTCTGATCCTGGACACTTAACCTGCTAGTATTTCAGATTTCTCATTTGTGAAAAGGAGTTAAGGATAGTACTCATATCCTAGGGTTCAGAGATTTTTAAAGATCAAATCAGGTTATAGTAAGTCAAATAAGGAAGCAGCAGCTGTTGGTGTAGAAAGGAAAGGGAATGGAGAGACAAGATTTCAAATTTAAGTCCTGCAGAAGAGTCCATTGGGGCTCTTGCTGGGAACTGAGATTCTCAAGCCTCAGCCCTAGGAACTTGAGATTTAGTAGCTCTGGGATGCTTGGTGACTTTAAAAAAAAATTATTTTTATTTTATGTGTATGAGTGTATTGCTTGCATGTATGCAAATGCCCTGTGTCATGCAATTCCTCTGGATGTCAAAGAGGTCACCAGATCCCTTGGAACTGGACTTAAAGATGGTTGTTAGCCACCATGTTGTGTTGGGTACTAAAACCAGACTCTCTGCAAGAGAGAGCCATCTCTCCAGCCTGTGACTTTTTGTTTTTTTAAAAAATACAAAGATAATTAAGAGTCCTTACCCATTTGCCCCTAATGTTGATAGCTTACATTACTGCAGTACATGTTAAAACTAAAAAGTCAATGCTAGCATATTACTGTTAACTCAAGACTTAACTAGATTACCCATGAATGTGCTTGCCTTTTCTGGGATCCAATCCATGATACCATTGCATTTAGAGAAGCCTCATTCTTCAGGTGTTTTCAGTTGATGAGAAGCAGGTAGTTTAGAGACCAATCTTGAGAAATAATGGGACACTTAAGTAACTGAACAAAGTCAAGATGCCCCATCCTCGAGTTTGGGAGATGAGTGCAATTTTAAAGAAGGGAGTAAGTTGATGGAAGGGATAGATAATGATTTTTATAATAAAATCCCTCCATTAGATCAGAGGGAGTTACTGTAAAAACAGGTACCCAACACGATACAAAATACTAGCCAGGTAGCCAGTACTCAGGAGGGCGAGGAGGCAGATCTTGATGAGTTTGAAGCTGGCCTGGTCTACAGAGTTCCAAGCCAGCATGGGCTACCTGCAAGGGCTACATAGTGAGACCTTGTCTTTAAAAAAAAAAAAAAAAATCGTTTTTCCACTTGAAGATAATTCAAGGGGGTAGGGCTGAGATGGCTCAGTGGTTAGGAGCACTTACTGTTCTTCTGGAGGACCCAGGTTCAGTTCCCAGCACCCACATGGCAGCTAACATCTATCCATTACTCCAGATTCCAGGGGATCTGATGCCCTCCTCCGCTTCTACAAACACTGCATGCACATACAGTGCAAAACATACATAAAATAGATATAACAAAAATTGTTTTTATAAAGACATATTAGCTTTTGGAAGGTATGGATGCTGCCCAGTCTCCACCTAGATTGACTATAGAAGCCTGGGGTCCTGAGAAAGTCAGGGAACTGCTAAGCACAGTGAGTTGGTTAATTGTTGCTCTAGGGAATGTAGGTGGGCTTGCACAGGTGAGCAAGAGACAGCTTGTGAGCCATAGAAAACCTGCATTTCCTTGAACCTGGCATAAATACACTGGAAAGCTTTCATGGTAACTAGTATGAAGCTTGCCATGTTGGACACTAGCCAGGTGGCAGGGCAAGGCTGAGATGGTCTGCTGACAGGCTCCTCAGGGGCTTGAGGAGGTAGGGAGTGAGAGGGGCAATGGAGATACAGATACTCAGCCTTTGAAGAATTAGTTCTACTGAGAAATGGGAGCCTTGTGAGTGCTACAGGTAAGAGATAAAGCAGCAGGTTTTCCTTCTTTGTGTATGAGTGTATCCCCTGCATGTAAGTGCACCTGTCATGCAATGCTCATGGAGGCCAGAAGAGGGCTTCAGACCTCCCTATCTCTTGGAACTGGAGTTATGGACTATTGTTAGCTGCCGTGTGGGTGCTGGGAACCAAACCCAGGTCCTCTGCAAGAGCAGCCAGTGCTCTTAACCACCGAACCATTTCTCCAGCCCTTTTTTTTTTTTTTTTTGTCTTTTTGAGATAGGGTCTCCCCATAAGTCCCAGCTGGCTTGGAACTCACTATGTAGACCAGGTTGGCCTTGAACTCACAGAGACCCACCTGCTTCTGCCTCTCCCAAGTGCTGGGATTGGGATTAAAGGCACGTGCCACCACGCTCGGCCCCGTTTTCTTTTAAAAGCAGCAGACTAATTTGGGTATCCTCAGACAGCTGAAATACAGTATTGGTGTCTCCCTGAGGACCTTAAGTCCTGGGACAACCACTGAATTTCCTGTCACATTGAAATTGTTCAGTTCCTACAGCAATGATAAGACTAGGTATTTTAAACCTTTCAAGATCACTCAACTCTTTCTTTGGATGAGAATGTCACTGGATTCAGGATTCCTTTTCTCTCCAATTTCACATTCTCAGGGGTTCTTCCTGCACCTGAGATCTTTATAAGGTGGGTTTTCTAAAGTTTATCTTACAGCAAGTAAATGTTCTCTTACTGCAAAACTCATTTAAAACTGTAAGTAAAAAGTGCCTGAAAAACCAAGCGACTTCTCTTTGGAGGAAGCAGCCTTAGAAAGTTTCTAGATCCTTCATGGTGTTTGCTGGAAGTGTCAGGCCTCTGGCTGACAGACTGTAGGTAATCTCATGCTGAACTTGTTGACTGATGCTAGGTGTAGAGTCTGCATAGAAACTAGCTCTTTCCTTGGATATTTCCTTGCCAAGAGCTTTTCCAAATAGTATGATCTAAAGAATGCAGCTTCTAGGTAAAGGGACAGACAAACCAGTCATTTTAAATGTGGCTGTCAGAGGTTTTAGCTAGTCTGAATGCCTTAGCTAGCTTACAAAACACTGCTTAACCTGAATACTTCCGTTGTTAAGGCTGGCTTTGTCTTCTTTGAACCAAGGAACACTGTATTTAGAGATATAGGAAACTAAACCAAAGTTTATGTGCCGTTGGATTTCAAAAAGATATGAGCACAGAGGCTACATAAAGAGGGAAGTGAAAAGATGGGCCAGAATGGAATCTGATACGGTGAACACTAACCACAAACGCCGCTCACAACCTCAGGATGAAACACAGGGAGTTACTGATAAGCAGCCACTTTTGGACCTGCAAAATGGCGGTTTTATCAGAACCAAACATGCATTTCAGATCTTTTCTTTATAATGAAGAAAAATTTCTTTTGATGTCTATAGTACTAGAGTAACCCCCCCCCAAAAAAAAAAAATTGAAAATGGACGAGCCCAGGCAGATATTCCTTTTTATAATCTTTGCAAAGTTCAGAACCTTAGATACCAGTTGTCACCTACTGGTGACTTGGTTTCCAGCCTACTAACATTTGTTGAAGCTATCCCGCTTTCTGTGACATTTACATTTTTACACTGTTGATCCAATTTTCCATTTATCAAAATGATTTCCTTGTATCTTAGTGTCAGGTCTGAGGGAAAAGCAATTCTCAGTGACACTCAAGCTGCCAACCTGTTCTTAGAAGTGGCAGATTCATGTCTACTGCCCCTCCCCCAAATCATTTTTAAACTTGACCACTCATATAATCAGCATTTCTACATAGGTGAAAAATATCTTATAAATGGTGATTTATGGCATTTTACCCTTCCCAAACTGTCAGTTCATTCATCCTGTGTCAAAAACAAAGGGATCCATCATCTAAAGATCTTCAGGGTTCTGAGAAAGTGGACAAATGCACTGCACTCATGAGCAGAATTTCTAGCGATTACTGGAGCTGAGTGGCTAGGCTCACTCAGGAACAGTGCCAAGGGAATCACTGCCATTTCCAGACCAGCCAGGGCTACACAAAAAAACAAAACCAGTTGACTTTTTCTCAAATGAAATGTAAACTTGAAAGTGTCATGAGGTTTGTTTTAAGAGGCCCCAGTTCTAATTCACATACTTGTTAAGTGTGTTCTAATTCTATACTACATTAGTCATTCCTTTCTCTTGGGGGTTTTACCCAATTTTACAATCTATTGTGCTTTTCCCTCTGAGATATAATAATGATTTAATGCACTAGGCCGCTAAGTACTGACAGTGTCTTTTACGGCTATGAATTATCTTCAAGTGGAAAAATGTCTAAGCAAAACAAAAATACAAAAACCCTACTATGCCTTAACTTAGAGGTATGGATCTAAAGTCTGGTCAATTTGAAAGTATTTAAAAGCTATCAGGATCAGGGTAAAACACTTAAGTTCTGGAGATTTTAGTAATGCTACACGAACATGTGAACAGAGAAGTGTTACAAACACACTAGCCGTATTTTAAGTAAAATAGAATTTATTAGCTTTTAATATAAACATGAGAATGAGAAACCACGTTAAGTTGTAGCATTCTTTTCAAAATAAAACTGCAATCAATACTTGAATCTCCAAGCTCTGAACTCCATAAACAATGTTTTTTGAGGTGGTAGGTGTAGCATTTCATACACCTTTCCTTAACATTTGTCTGTCCTTTAAAATGATAAACCTGGCAGCACTGGAAAGCTTGTGAAACACTGCCCTGCTGAGAGGAGTATTCCTGGCCCACAAAGGTTCTTTTTACAGGTCAGATTCCTAAGGTTTCATGTGAGAAGAGAAACAGAATACAAGTATAGTTGAAAACACCAGCCTTTTATTATTTCAAAGTTAGGTGCCTGTTGTCAGTTACTTATTTACTCCTTGCCCTGCAAGCCTACAGCAAAGGTTACTGAGGTGCATTTAAATTCCTTATTAGCAGCCCAACTTGAAAAGACATCTATCTGCACACAGTAACATACACGGTACATTTTTTTTTTAATTACTCATTTTTTACCTGCTGCTTTGGGGATCCAGCTCCTTTTCATTCATTATACGTGAATTAACACTGCTTTTCATAATCTTCCTTAACAGAATGTAAAGATAGCTACATGATCAAAGCAGAGAACCCAGCCCAACAAAGAACTTAAAAAAAAAAAAAGTCCATGAGGATACAACGCATCCCAAAAATCTCAATGCAGTTTTAAGCTCTGATCCCTGTAGAAGTGTAGATGCTGTAAACTCACGGAACTCTAAGAGCTAAATTGCCTTTACTTTCAACTTTGCAAATTTAGAATATTAAGCTTTTAATTTTAAATTTTTGTTTCATGGCTCACGATCTTTAAGAGAACCAGACAATTAACTCAGAGCATGGTGGTGTACACCTTTGAACCTGGTGCTCAGGAGGCAGAGGGATCTCTGTGAGTTCAAGGTCAGCCTGGTCTACATAGCAAGTTCCAGGTTTGCCCAAGCTACATAATAAAACACTGTCTCAAAACAAAACACCACCCCCAAAAGAAAAACAAAAAATTTAAATCAGAAGCTTAATTATTTCAGATTTACAAAATTAAAACTTTCAAGTAATGTTTAATGAAAGTCTGTGGCTTTTCGATTTCTGCTGTAGTGCCCAGGTGAGCCCAGGCACGGGACAATGATCCTTAAAACTGTACCAGCTTTGGTACACCTTGTATTTTATTAATTGCTCATGATCACTGGACCATGATGTTGGTTGGCATTATGAAAATATCTTTTAATAACTTGTTTAACAAATAAGAGGAAAATTATCAGACAATGAGAAGCACCATTTATAGTTCACAAGAAATGCAATGTGGACCCAAAAGAAGTGGTCAACAACCAATACTTTCTCTCTGTGGCTCCAAAATACTAGCAAGCAGTGCTTGCAAAAACTATGAATGGTGAGTGTTATTCAGCAGCTTCTGGTTTAAAGTGATTGACAAGAATGATTAGCAGCTTTGATGACATGGTAGGAAGAACCCTTTAATACCTAACAGTGCTACTGTTTGCTCCTAGGTGGTTCTGAGTGTTAAGCACCCCAAGTTTGGGGCTGAGGGGTATAGCTCAGTGGTCAAGTGCTCACCAAGCACATGCTAGGTCCTCAGTTTGATTCCTAGCACCACAAAAATGGGGAAGTAGTCTCATGTTTTAATGGTTAAATACTGCATCAATTCTAAAAGCATATGCAGCAATTGGGTGAAGGGTCAAGAAAAACAAGTTATATGGTTAGTGTCTTTAAAGTCTAAAAATTTGAACCAGGCATGGTAATCCCAGCACTTGGGAGGTAGAGGCAGGAAGATTAGGAGTTCAACGCCAACCCCAGTCATACAGAGTACGTGAGGCCAGCCTAGGCTACGTAAGACCCTGTCTCAAACAAAAAGTCTAAAAATTGAAACAGTTTAAAAACCTCACATATTTCACAGCCATTGGCCTACACAGTAAGCAATTATCTGTGCATCGTCAGAGCTTTTGCTTTGGAGTGGTTTTTGAAACTCTGTTTACATTAAAAATGACAGAAAGTGTTTTGACAAGGTCCCAGTCTTTCCTATGGAGTTAATGGTCATTATCCAGGAGTCTCTTGATTGGAGCACTTTCCTTCTGGCGGAAACTCATAGGAGTTTCTGGTTCTCAGCAGGAGAGGTGGTGTATCTCCAGGCTTTGCAGACAGGAGCTCCTGATGTTAATGCTCCTTGTTCTCTTTTAGGAGAGGATAGCGTTAGAGCGGTGAATGACAATGAAGTTGTCAGCACTTAGAGATCTTCTCATAGCAGCTCTACATAAGTCTTTGTATTTGTCCTCACATAATCTTGAAATGGCCTAGGAAAGCCAATCAAACAGAACACAGATTTTTAAAAAGATAGCAATAAAGAACACAAAAGAAAAACTCATCATATACTACCCCCATTGAGGGGGGAAAATCCATGGCGGGTCACGGTTGAACCATCCTTTAGATACTTCATAAATGCAGCCGCTTTGACTATCTGAGGCCTAAGGCCTACAGTGCTAGATCCTGGGAATCCTACTTCCTGCCAATTCCCTAAGGTAACATTCTTTCAGAGCTGTGATGAGATGACTGGGGAAGGAGAACGTTATTAAAAGTTACTTAAACTGGGGCTGGAGAGATGGCTTGGCTGTTAAGCACACTGGCTGCTCTTGCAGAGAACCCGGTGTTCAATTCCCAGCACCCACATGGCAGCTAACAACCATCCACAACTCCAGTTCCAGGGAATCTGATGCCCTCTTCTGACCTCCACAGGCACTGCATGGCACAGTTGCACTTATACACATGCAGACAATACACTCATACATGTAAAATGAAAATAATAAAAAATTAAGTTACTTAAAACCAACTTCCTGGGGTTGGGGAGATGGCTCAGTGGGGAAAAATCTTTGCTGTGCATGCATGAGAACCTGAATTTGGCACCCATTTAAACAGCCAGGCATAGTGGTACATGCCTGTAATCCCAGTGCTGGGAAGTGGCAAAAGGAGGATCCCAAGGGCTCAACAGCTAGCCTGGTGAGCTCCAGGTTCAATGAGAGACCCCATCTCAAAACTTCAAAGTGAACAGCAGTTGAAGAAGGCACCCACTGGCAACTTCTGGTCTCCACGCATGTATGCATGCATGTGCCTACACATGAGCACACATATGCATACATCACACACACACACACACAGTTCTCAAGGATGTGAAAGAAGTTGTGATAGGCTCTAAACAGCAATATTATGTTATTTGTATAACTGTTTCTATCCAATCTTCACTAGTCTTAGTAAATTTCAAAGAGGCAAGTAAGTAATATTATTTGAAGGCAGAAGAGGCTAATGTTTGAAGCATTAAAAGTTGCTATTTCAATTGCACATTATAACTAAAAAGCATTCTACGTTACTAAGGTACTAAAGAAAGTTACATTTTTAAGTACACGTGTCCATTTCAGTTGTGAATCACTGTGATTTTTATTCACCCTAAATCATAAGCCATATTACTTTGCCTCATGTAAGTTACCACTTTTATTAATACACTATATATTTGCCAGGCGTGGTGCTGCATGCCTTTAATCCCAGCACTCAGGAGGCAGAGGCAGAGGCAGGCGATCTCTGTGAGACTGAGGCCAGCCTGGTCTACATAGAGTGTTTCAGGTCAGCCAGGGATACAGGGAGACCCTGTCTCAAAAAGACCAAACAAACATATAAACAACAACAAAAATCCCTCTATATACTTCCTATATTCAGTATTTGAAACATGTATGATTTATATACATCCTAAACATAGGTCTCTTACCTTAGCCACTGATGCTCTCTAATAAATTCATGGTATCTAAAATGATAAATTTGCCAACTGAGTAAAACGCACGCACCTAAAAGTAGTGATATGTAGGTAGGAATAATTAGGGACATAATTTCAAGAAATTATTCATACATGTTTATGTGGGAAAGTAGAGGTTCAAAAGGAAACCTATTAAGGCTATATTAAATTTTATTTAACATATTCTGAATTATGATCACAGAGACAGTATCTACCTCTCTATATAATGTAGATACTTTATAAACCATAAAGGCCAAATATGATGCCAAAGAGATAATAACCTCTTCACTGTGCTAATTTAAAAGCTTTCCATTGTCTTAACTCATGACTCAGTATGATTCAGTCACAGATGCTGGCGTGGTGGCTCACAGACAGCACCACTTAGTGAACGCAGCCTTACCTCTAGGTTCTGTGCTCTTTCTTTGCTGAGAGGAGCAAACAGAAAATTCAGGTTGTTGTCATCTGCTAAGGAGCGAAGGTCAAAGTAGTATTTGGCATAAACGCTGGCAGGAACATTAATATTAAACTGGAGTAGCTCTAAGAAATGCCTTTCCATCTCATTCCTAGGGGAGGAGGAACACAGCAAAACCCACACAAGACAATTTTAGTCAATTGGGTGATCTTTAAAAATATCATTCTGAGCTTCTAGGATGGCTCTAAAGTCTGTTTTGGAACACATAAAGGCTACCCAGCTGGATTCATATACTAATACTTAAACAAGGTACAACTATTCGGGGTCCTTTTTGCATCCCAGCACTCGGGAGTTTGGGCAGAAGGGAAAAGGTTATGGCCCTCTCATGCGCTCATGCTTCTGACTTGCAGGCTTATTCTTCAGAGTTCCATTAGTGCAGCTGTACGATTCATACTCCACACTCGCTGACAGGGCCCCACTATAGTGAGCAGATGAAAGGAATGATGTATGCTGTTTATTAGCTCTGGAGAACTTGCAGACATTTTCACTGGGCTGATAACAGGAAGGGGCTTATTGAAGTAGAGAAGCGCCAACAAAAGGAGTGGGCACATCACCACGGCAACAAATGGATCCACCGAGAGCCAAGCTATTATCTCTGAGGGGAAAAAACTCTTGAGGCAACAAGGATTCATCTCAAATAAATAAATAAATATTCCACACTGGATGAGAAAGGAAATCCCTTCCCTTTGCCCCAGCACAGGAGGCTGTGTCAAAGAGCATAATGCAAATTTCTGCTCACCTTAAGATTACTGAGGTGACAAACTGTCATTTACAACAGCCAAGATACTCATCTTAAACTCTGGAAAGCAGAAGAATCAAAGACAGATGCCTTGGATACACTAAATCCACTTTAGGATGATGTCTGATAGACCACTTGGACTTAGAGACTTTGCTCCAGTGCTGGGAATGAAACCACTGAGATCAGCATCTGCTACCCTCACCAGAACAGGATACGCACACACGGGTGAATTTAACATGGTGGATCAGGGGAGGGCTGAGGAGAGTCCTCTGTTTGGGACCACATTCCTTTGCTGAAGGTTAAGTCAATAAACACAAAATTAGGGTAAACCTGACCTCATTTATAATAATCCTCTGTAGAAATTATATAAAAATGGTAACTACTTGAACAAACATGACAGAGGCTTATTTTAGAACATATTTGGTTTCTTCATTTTAAATTTTTAATGTTTTCTTCACTGACCACCTCAGTGCCTGCTATTCTATACAGAGAGCAGGGAAAACACGGTTTTCTCATTTGCTGAAATTAAAACCAAACAGCCTACTTCCAAAATTAATTTCCTGTTTGTATGGCAGTAAGTCTATAGAAATGTAAATCAGATAATGTTTTCATAATCAGCTAATCAGGACTTAATTTGCTACAGGAATAAATGCACTTCACGATCCCTTTTATATTTTCTCCACTAATACATTTTAACTGTGTAGAAATACAGTACTTCATGGGATTAACATGTCTATTAATAGAGGTTTAATCACTGAAGAAAAGCATTATGCCAACAGAATCTACACCTTCTGGGTTCTGTGTTGTTTTTTCAAATGGCTGAATAGCATACCATTTACCAGCACAGCAAATTTTCTGAACAGCAGCTGCTCAGTTAACTTATTCTTTTGAAGGGAAATATATTCTAACAAAATACATATGTGGTGAAAAGTCTGAAGAAAATCTGATAGACTGATTTTTAACTTTCACTTTAGACTAAAAAAAGGGGGGGGACATTACAAATAGCCATCAGCAGGAGGACAAGACAAATGTATATCAGCACTTTGTTGTCACGCTTTCCATTTTTCAAAGATCAAAAACAAAAGGGGCCATTTAGGAACATGGCTCCTGGTGTTTCTCTGTTCATGCACAAAAAGCGTGATGAGCACTAGTGCTGCAGCTAGCCCCTGCCACCAACTGCCCCTGGAATGGACTCACGGCTTCGGAAACTTAAAACATTTTTCCTCGCCTTCTCTGAACTTATATCCAGGACCAGAGGCCCTGGCAGCTGAGTTTTAAGTTTTGAGACATTTTCAGCTGCCATCCTGGCATGGCTAGTTTTTATGATTACAAATTTTCCTTTTTCCAAGGGACCAGTGTGCAGACTGAAAACACAGTGATCAAAGTCATTCGGGCCTCCGTAACTTCCAAAAGCAAAAGCACGTCCATTTGTTTCAGATTCTTTTTTTTTTTTTTTTTTTGTCACATCCTTTGCTGAGAGAGCTACCAGTACTATAACCACTGAGTTCACAACATCATAAATGTCATTTTCACCAAACACTACCTTCAGCTACTTCCAACAATCACTGGTCCCTCAGTCCCTTCAGTTATAAACAGTCTGGTAATTCTGAGTAACAGTCTTAACTGAAGGAATGGGCAAAGGTAACTGTTACCCTCCTCATACCTTGATCTTCCTATGATGCTCAATGTAATCAAGAAGTTTCTCCACAGTTTCCTAAGTGCTACCTGTAAAGACATTTTCACTGTCAAGTGGGCACTTTGAAAGTCTGCTAGAAATCTCTCCCTTGCTCATCCTGCCTACCAACTTCACAGCCCTGCCCTTCACAGCATTTGGTTAGCTGAACTGGAAAAGCCCTTGTTATAGCTAGTGACCATCACCAAGGTTCTCCTTGCCCTAGCAACTTGCTCAAGGCCTACAGAATGCTGCTGTGATTGGTCAAGTACTAACTGTGCCCGTTACTTTGTGAAGCCAATGTGGTGCTTCTCAGACTGCCTGAGAAGAACCCTGGAGCTTCTCAGCCCATTACCCCAATTTCTAAACATATACAGCACTCCACATGGGAAGGATCGGGACAGAGAAACCCGAAACCTTTACGTTTTTTTTTGTACTTCATGGTTTCTGTCACAGATGCTCTTTTTTTTTTTAAGAAGAGGGGGTTGGGGGAGACCCACACATGCAAATATACAAGTGTTTCTCAGGTCAGAAGGTGGTTAGAAAGCAGTAACTTTGCAAAAATCCAGACTCTTAGACTTGAATGTTGGCCAGACACATTTCAGAAGCCCTTAAAAAAAGAATGGAAATGGTAGCTTTTAAGAAGCCATAAAAGGCTGGGAGTGGTGGTGCATGCCTTTAATCCCAGCACTTGGGAGGCAGAGGCAGGCAGAACTTTGTGAGTTTGAGGCCAGCCTGGTCTACATAGCGAGTTCCAGGATAGCTGAGGCTACAGGGAGACCCTGTTTCAAAAAGACAAAAAAAAATAAAGATGCCATAAAAATATATAGTAAGTATACCATGCTGTTCTAGTAGTAACCTTGCAAAGTGATTTACCAAAACCATCAAAAAATACTTTTCAATTTATCAAGCACTTTATTATAACTCAAAGACCTACCAATTAATGATGGAAAATAAAAACTTAAATAGCTGGATAGAAAGGAGTTTTGTATCTATTTTCATTATCTGTGTAATATAATCTTTCAAAATATTGCTTAAAATTTTTATGTAAACTTTATGGGAGAAAAAAACAAACTTTATGGGAGCAAATGACCATAGCAGAAAGCAGTTAATTCACTGAAACCTTACACACTCACATGTCCTCGACTGTAATGTCCTTGAGGATCTGGCAGTAGTCCACATTCCACACAGCCTGATCATCCCAAACCTTGGAGGCAAGAAGAATGGCTCCCAAAACAATTCTTTTCCAGTTAGTGGGACAAATGTCGATCTCAGCATAAGTTAAAAGCCTCTCTAAGTAAACCTGCAAAAACAGAGCACTGGTCTTTGATTTTAGTTCAGTTTAGGTGCTGGGTTAAGAACTGTTTTGAATGACAGACTTCATTTGTGTTTGATCACAAAGTGCCTTATGTTCTTCAGTTCTGCAGAGACACTGCTCTGCTGCAGCAAGTGGGCAGATCTGAAGTCAAACACCTCTGCTGTCTACCTTGTTCATGCGACTTCCTAGCCGGATCTGGGTCACAGGAATGACTGGACAGCGCAGCAAAGGGCACCCTGAAGAACAGCACTGCTGTCACCTTCATGTGCGCGAAGCCCAGTGTGATTAAGGCTGTTCAATAAATCCCGAGTGCCTTTCACGTAATTGTGCAGGTATACCAAGTTTGAATGTGCAAAATAAAGTCACAAGGAGCACATTTTAATCTCTTCCTGTACACAATTATCCTGTGTGGCTAGCTGAGGATAGGAACTAATGGACAAGAGAGCCTCCCAGTGGCTGCTGGGCAGAGCAGCACTACCTGCGCCAAAGGATGGTCCTTGCAGGCCTTGCTTTCTCCCTTCCTACTATCACTTCCTCAGAGTTCACCTTCTCTCTTACGTGATCTGAAACTTAGTCAAGTCTCTTGGCTTTAAGGCAGCAGAGCTGCCAGTAGGTATCCCTGGGATTCCTAAATGTGGAAGGCGGTTTGTGAGTTGCTCTCATGAATGATCTTACACATATTAAACATCAACAGTTGAGTAAGGATTGTAGAGGAAGCTGTGAGTTCTTATGTCAAAAGGTTTTCTATAGAACATCAGTCACACCTTGGTATCCAAGGAAGGGTGGTTTTATGATCAAAATTTGCAGATGCTTAAGTACTTTATATAAAACGGCAGTTTGGATATAGCCAAGTGTCTTGCTCTGAACTTGTGATCCTCCTGCTTCAGCTTCTCAAGTGCTGCATTTACAAGCATGAGCTACTATGCTCAGTCCCATATGCTTTAAATCATCTCTAGATTAGTTACAATACTAAACTAATACTAAACTAAGCATTGCAAATGCTATGCAAACAGTACTGTTTGACGAATAATGAGACAGCAAAGGAGTCTCATGTTCCCCCTCCCACCCCAGTATTTTTGATCCACAGTTGACATAAACAAGATGCTGTGCTCAGATGTGGCGGGTGTATGTGAACTCTTTTTATCAAGAAACAAAGAAAAAAAAGTTTACTTTTAAGAGTATATTCAATTATCTAAGATTAAGAGACTAATGGCTCAGATTTGACAATATTCTCAAACTCAACTGCTTCCAAAACCAAATGGCTACCAAACACTACATGTTTTTAGTCTCTGAGAGTCTCCTCCCATTTTCCACACTTGCACTCTCAAGTACCCTAGGAAAGAACTTCCCCCTGAGAAAGGCTGGTGGTGCACTCTGGCAGGTGTCTTCTGGCTGGCACTCATTTGCACTTTCTCCTGGGTTGTGTCTTCCTCCACTGAAGCTAACTCTTCTATTGGTGCACTTAACTCCATAACCCCTATTAGTGCACGTGACTCATTTCCTTCAATGACCTTTTGGAAGACTTTCTTCCTCTGCTAGAGACATTGTCTAATATGAATGTTTAGGTTGCTCTGATGTTACTCCCCACAGCCCTCAGAGCGCTTCCTCTCAAGTTCATCATATCACGCACATCTCCTGCCTTTTCCTTAGCACACTTGTGCCTGCCTCTGGCTATTCTTCTACTAAAACAACTCTTGCCAAGCTCATCAGTGGGTTCACTTACAAACTAGACAGTATCATTCCAACTCTCCACTTGCCTAGTTGTAGAAGTCCACACCCTGTTATTTGTGTTATCTCGTTTCAATCTGTAAGCAACACCTGTTCTTGCTATCTTCTCTGGTAATTTGACAACTTTCTGTCCTAAGCCACCATTTTTCACTGCTTGCCTAGATCACTGTGTGGCAGGCAGTTAGGAAAGCCTCCTAAATTAAGATCATTTTACTACTCCCCTGCTCAAGACCTACCAAAACTTACTTATCAACCTGGAACCTAACTTCTTACCTCTGAGACTGTCACTGTCGTCTGCTCTCTCTTGCTTTCCCTTAATCCTCACTCCCACCATCCAGCCACCTGTTTTCCCTGAGCACATAAAATGCTTCTGCACTGCAGTCTCTTGACACTTGTCTCACTGCCTATATAACATTTGAGCTCTTGGCTTCCTCTCCAGTTAGACTACTATTCAAATGCCACCTCTCTGAGGAGGCTCTGCTCATCCTATGGAAATGGAAAGCTTTCCCGTCACTCATTAGCCCTTTACCATGCTCAATCTTCTTGCATTTGGCACTACTTGAAATAAATACCTGCAAAATATCTGCTGTCTTCCTCTCTACCACACAAGCTCCTAAGACAAAGCCTTTGTCCCATCTGCTCTCTTCTCTGCCCTGGCACTACAGTAGTGGTGCAGAGCAGCTGTCTAGGGTGTATGCCTGCAGCCTCTTATCAGCATTTATCACTGTGGTCACTTGCCTCCTATTACTTGTTCTTGGATTTCCTCCTAGTGTTCCACTTCCTCTGGAGACTTGACTCCGAAACACTGATGGTAGATCTATGAGGGCTTTCTGCTTATGTTTTACTGTAAACATTCTCTGCATTTTAACAATTACTCTCAATTCTTACCTCTGATTTGGATTCATGCTGTAGTCCTGTACACTGAGAGGACCAGATATGGCCACTCTGTTCTCCCAAGAATGACAGCTTCTCTTGTTTAGAGGAGAGCCCCCTTCTTCCAACCTAGCTCTCCTTCCCACATTCTCTACCCCAACAACAGAAGTGCCCACTGAAGGGGCTCTACTCATGCACATAGTACTAGTTTCCTCTTTGAATACTAACTGCATGCTAAAGGAAAAGGTACTGATCGAAGGGTTTGTTGTCTCAGGACCATGCACTGAACTATTCACTGTGCCTCTGCTGAAGGGAGTGGTAAAATCCCAAGCTTTTGAACATTTGTTATTCAAAATGACAAAGTCTTACTATAGACATTCAGAATGGATGACATAAAGGTAAGAACACAGCTATAGCTTAGCAGGTTAATAAAATCTTTCTAAGAACTATTGTTATCATAACCCTGGGACAACTTACTGGGCAGACACAAGCCACCAGTAGAGATAGATTAACACCATCATCTAAGGAACAGAGAATTGAGGGCAGTAGTTGTCAATTTTGGCGTACATCAGAATAACCTAGGGAATATATAGTCTGGAACTTGATTTAGATTACACTGATTTGATTTATTTATTTTTATTTTACATGTATGAGTGTTTTGCCTGAATGTACACCCATGCCATGCAATGCCCACTGAAGCCAGAAGAGGGTGTCAGATCTCCTGGAACTGGAGTTATAGATAGATGTTAGCCACAATGTGGGTGCTGGAAATCAAACCTGGGTCCTCTGCAAGAGCAGCCTGTTCTCTTAATCGCTGAGCCATCTCTCCAGCCCCTGAACTAGTCTCTGTGGGTCACTGGGTTTTGTTATTTTGCTTCTCATCCTAGCCATCAGCATGCCCTATACATGTAATGTGTACTGAGGTGTCAGGGGAGAAGTCTCTCTTACTGCCTTCAATGGCAACTGTTTTGTGATAATGAGGGCAAAGGCAGCATTCTAAACCACAGTAATCATTAAACTCAAATATGTCTTTACTTTCCTTTGAAAGGATTCTCTTAATAAAGTTCTTATAACTTCAGGAACTTAATATACCCTGGATATAAAACCAGTTTTGAAAGATGTTTGATAAATAAGAAATATCTTACCAGAGTTACTATTGCACATTCAGCTGTTAGCTGTGCGGCACTAAAAAGAGTACGAACAAATCTGTAAATAAATTTGTGTTCAGGGTCATGCCTAAAGTACTCCTCTGGAACTTTCTCTCGCTGAAAGAAAAAAAAGATACAATATAAATATCGACTGAAGAAAACTAGGTATTCTTAAGATAGCAATTTCCACATTGTGCTTACATGTTCCTCAATTTCTACTGGGTGGCATGATTTTTAAAAAAAATTTTAACATTTATTTTGTAGGTATGCATGTGTCTGTGTCTTTGTATTTGGGTATGTACATACCATGTCATACATGGAGAGGTCTGGGGACAACCTGTGGGAGTTAAGTCATCTTCTCTCCTTACCATCTGGTTCTGGGGAGCACAATCAGGTTGTTAGGCTTGGAAACAAGCACCTTTACCTGCCAAGTCATTTTGCTAGGCTGATATGTCTTTCAGTTTTAAAAAATATAAAAAGTGGGACTGGGGCTGGAGAAATGGCTCAATGGTTAAGAGCATTTGCTGTTCTTGCAGAGGACCTCGGTTTGATTCCCAGCACCTACAAGGCAGCTGTCCTACTCCAGTTCCAGGGGATCTGATGCCCTCTTCTGATCCCTGTGGGCACTGCATGACATGGGTGCACCTACCTACATCCAAACACTCATACACATAAAATAAAAATAAAATTTTTAAAAAACCACAGTGAGATCTTACAGTCAATTGACATGAATGACATTTTAGTCAATGATGGACCACATACCCAACATCAGTTCCATAAGCAATCACCTAGTTAACACTGTAGCCATCTTAGATAAAGTATACTCCATGATGTATGCACAATGATGAAATCACCTAGTAATACACCTCTGAGGCTGTAAGCAACTATTAAGCAACATACAATCATACCATACTTGTTCAATATCCACCACCATTTATTAAAGAAAAGCATAAGTACAAGGCTTAGAAAATTTATATTCCTTTCCATTTTCTCTCCATTGACTCCTGTAATTCTATTTTAATGCTGAAAAGTCTTACTGATCCTATGTCACATTTCTCTACAATAAACAGTGAAAAAAATGGTTTTACTTTCCTGTAACCACAGGCTTTAACGCTGCACTGTCCAGCATAAAAGTCCCCAGCCAGATGGGGCTCTTTATCAAGGGTGGTTAATTTGTGAAGTGACTTTTTAAATTTTTACACACTGATTGTTTTTCAAGTCAGGGTGTCAATGTGCTGCACAGGCTGTCCTCCAAATTGCCATTTTCCTGTTTCAGCCTTCAAGTACTGAAATTACAAGTATGTCCCACCACACCTGGCATAGAGCATTTTTAACTGTTTTAAAGTTTTATAATTCTCTTGAGAGAATCTGTGTATTTGTTGGATTTACTTGATGCTACTAAAGATTCTCTTTTGAAAAGTTGTATTTTCTGTTAATTTAGACAGTGTATTTACTCATCTTAGCTCACTAATTAAAGCTGCATGTCAGTTCTTACTCTATCATAGCCATGATACAGTATCTCTGCTTCTAAGATGGTAAGACACAACAGGGATGGGACTAAGATGCTCTGACCTCAACCTGGAGGGAGTGATCTTCTAGTAACCAATTTCAAAGCAAATCAGCATAAAGTAAACACAACTCTATGAAAGAAAAATACAATTTCAAAAAAAGTGAAACTTACTGTAAGTGGATGTGATCTCTCATCAAAAATGTCCAGGGATCTGTTTGCATCTCTATAAAATTTTAAAAATAATACAGGACATGTTAATACCTTAGTAAAATATCTGATGGAAGCAGGGGGTTGAAAGGAGCAGCCCAATCTTTAACAATGCCAACAGTTTACAAATTCTCCTGCATTCTGGTCTTAAAACCTCTTTTATTCAGTACTGCAGTACCTTTACCAGTTAAAGGTGTCTGTCGAGTATGGACCCTCCAAAACAAGCAGTGCTAATGAATCGATATATTTTTCACTCCCCACATGAGGCAGCAGTGGAGGAGAATCAAGAACTTAGAACTTTAATGAGATCTAGATTTCACAGGTTTTTGCTTCTCTTTAGTTCTCTGCATTCTATTTTTCTTCTTCTTTTGCTTTCTGGAGACAGGGTCTCACTATGTTCCTAGGCTGGCCAGGAACTCATTTGATTTGTAATTTTTGGAGGGGGGATCTTTTTTTGAGATAGGGTCTCCCAGTAGCCCCAGCTGGCCTGGAACTCACTATGTAGACCAGGCTGGCCTTGAACTCATAGAAATCTGCCTGCCTCTGCCTCCTGAGTGCTGGGATTAAAGGCATGCGCCACCTGCCTGACGAAAGTTCTGGAACTTTTTGAAAAGTTAAAATTTGGGAATGCCTGCACCCTCTCCTATGTGCTTGACAGCTCCCCCCCCGCCCGGTCTTTTTTCTTTTAAATATTTTATTTATTATTTTTATTTTATGTGTATGAGTATATTGCCTGCATGTAGGTAAGTGCACCCATGGTTGTACAATGCCCACAGAGGACAGAAGAGGCCATCAGATCCCCTGGAATTGGAGTTACGGACAGTTGTTAGCTGCCATGTGGGTACTGGGATTTGAACCCAGGTCTTCTGCAAGAACAGCCAGTGTTCTTAACTGCTGAGCCATCTCTCCAGCCCCCTTTTCTGGTCTTTTTGAGAGAGGGTCTTCTTGCAGCCCCAGCTGTCCTGGATCTCGGTATGTAGACCAGGCTGACCTTGAACTCACAGAGATCCACCTGCCTCTGCCTCCAGAATGCTGGGATTCAAGGCATGCATGCATCACCACCCCCAGCCTAACAGCTTTTAATGCTTAAGACTTTTGAGTAAGCATTGGAAACAAAAATGAATTTTTGACATTATAAAGAAAGGCGAACTATTATTTTCCAAATAACCAGTATGTATTATGAAATCACTTACTAGTTAAGAAATTCATTTACTATGCAAGATATAGCTGAGTACCAATGTTAACAAGTCATTGAGATGATGTAACATTCTATTATCACTAGTTCAAAAAATTCATCATCACAGAGTTTTAGTATAGTATTAGAAAATATCCAAAAATATCTGAAAGCTTTAAAAGTTCACATTTCCTCAAATATGTATCTGAGTGAGGCAAGGTTGTCTTCTTATTGCTTTTTCAAAACACACTGAAAAGGAAGGCAGAGAAATATAAAAATCTCTTTCTTTCTACTAAGCCAAGCATTAAAGAAATTTGTAAAGATGTAAATGGCAGTTTTCTCTTAACTTTTGCTGTAGAAAAAGTTATTTTTCAGGAAAATATTTATACTAACAAGACAGTTCTTTGGGGTGATACTTGTCCTTCAGGGAGCATTTTTGATTGCCACAATGGGAGTGGAAGACAAACAGTAAAACTATAAACATCCTACAATGCATATAGACCCCACAACAAGAAATTAGGAAACTCAAAATCAACAGCATCAAGATTGAAAAAGCCTGTGTTGGCTACTATATATATTTAAAACACTGAATTTTAAGCTGGGCGTGGTGGCACACACCTCTAATCCTAGAGCTCTGAAGGCAGAATTCTAGGCTAGCTGGGGCTACAAGAAAACCTCAAAAAGACCAAATAATAGCTGGGCGTGGTGGCGCACGTCTTTAATTCCAGCACTTGTGAGGCAGAGGCAGGCGGATCTCTGTGAGTTCAAGGCCAGCCTGGTCTACATAGTGAGTTCCAGGACAGCTGAGGCTACAGGGAGACCCTGTCTCAAAAAGACCAAAAAAAAAAAAAAGTTCTCAATTTTAATATATAAAATTATATAGTAAATATCAACATAATAAACAAATACTTTTTTAGGACCTTCAATAAGTAGAGTTTTGAAAGAGTCCTAAGAGCAAGAAACTTAACAGATTGACTTCAATGTTGTAATAAAGGCATTCTACAGCTTCTGCTGTCTACAGGTATGTCCTAATACTTTATTTGGTATCATGCAAGGTAATTAGCTACAATAGTAAGACAGGTTTTTAAGAAGCTCACCTGTTCTTTATGTGGTAATATATTGCTAAGGTTACACTGTGGAAGGAAAAACAAATATTTGTAGCAATTCATTTTATCATTTGTTAGGTCTGAAGACATTTTTTTTAGCAGGGTGGACCTTCCCAGCAGCTCTGAAATCCTCCAGTTCAGAACAGTACCATATTAGACACTTAAAAGTTTTTTGGCTTTTAACACAAATAGAAAATCCCAAGCACTAGACATGTTTCTGTGAACTATGATCACATGGCAAATTACTGTAAATCATCCTGTCATTTGCCCTTTCAACCTGTGCAAGTTTCAGCATTTATGTATAAGTTTACATTTAAAACACACACTAGTTTTTTTGGTTAGATTTCAGCTGATTTACAGTTGCCATTGATCATTACTTCCCTAAAAGTAAGTAATGGAAGTTCTGTATAAATTATTTTTGTAACATCAGTAGAAAACTTATTAGTAAATTTAAGTGCCCACAAGCCCGATGACAGGCCTGGCTATCCTGAAAGAAGCAGGGCTGCCAGTACAACACAGTACCCACTCCACAGCATTGTATTAACAGCAGGCATTTCCAATTAGTTTAAGTGAAATATTAATAAGCAGATACAACACTTTAGATACTATATTACTCTACTCCTAAGTTACCTGTAGATACTGTGAATTAGGGAAGGAAAGTGTTCTATTTGGAAGTTACATGATTCCATCTGCCTTTACTGTCTAAAATACAACCCAAAATGTTTGAGGAAAGGCAAATCTGAATTTTAAAAGTATTTGTATATATTTAAAATTTTAAAAGCTTGGAACATTATAGGCATCAAAGATGGATACTTCTATAGTGTTGTTTTACTTGCAAACTAATTTTAAAAGTCAGAAAGTTTGACTCAAAAAGAACCTCTAAGACTTACATGATGGTTCATCCCACAACTAATTTTACAGAAAAGAGATTCATAAAAATGCAGTGCTTAAAACCATGCATCTAAGGCCCCACCAATTAGGCAGACATAATTCTCCTTCTTTATTCTGATTAAGCAGTGGCTTCCAAACTCTGCCTCACATTGGGGTCATGTGATTTAAAATCAGCCTGACACATTCTCATCAACTGACCCTGGGGCAAGACCGGTATCAAGACAGCTTTTAACACTCCCCAGGTGATTCCAGTGTGCTGCAAAGTTTGGGAGGGATTTATGCTTAAGATCAGAAGGGTCATTCCGATGTTATTATCTTTGTAATTATATCTCACATCCATCCTCTTTAATTAAAAAAAAATATTTTATTTATTATTTTTATGTGTATGAGTGTATTGCCTGCATTGTAGTGAGTGCACCTGAGTCATGCAAAGCCGTGGAGGTCAGAAGAGGGCTTCAGATTCCCCTGGAACTGGAGTTAAGGACGGTTTGTAGCCATCATGTGGGTGCTGGGAATCGAACCCAGGTCCTCTGCAAGAGTAGTCAGTGCTCTTAACTGCTAAGCCATTTCTCCAGGCCCAATCCTCTTCAGTTTTTAAAAAATTTGTTTATTTTTATTTTATGTGTATGAGTATCTTTGCCTGCATGCATGTTAAATGCACCAATGTGTGCAATGCCCATGGAGGGCAGAAGAGAGTCATTGGATCCCCCGGAACTGGAGTTATGGACAGTTGTGAGCCACCATGTAGGTGCTGGGAACTGAACCTGGGTCTTCTCTAAGAGCAGCCAGTGTTCTTAGTCACTGAGTCATCTCTCCAGCCCTCCATCCCCTTTCTTAAAGGCTTGTCAAAGTGTTTATGAAGATGAGGAAAAATGCATGCACTTACAGATGTATTTTTCTTCTTGGAAACAAGGTCTCATGTAGCCTAAGCTCGTCCCTGTAACTTGTTATATTGTTGAGGATGATCTTGAACTCCTGATCCTGCTGCCTCAGTCTCCTAAGTACTAGGATTACATGGGCCACCATGTCCAGCTGTAGCCATGTTATTTTGAAAATAGTTGTGTGAGTCACTAAGTTTTATCAATCTCCTTGCAAGTAATGCATTGCTACCCCATAATATTTTCAAGATTTTTCCTAAAATTCAATTTGTTCTATTTAATTTCTTGGTAAATGTTTATTTCATCAAGTGAATATATGGATTTTTATAATTTAAGAAAGAAAAATAAAAACTTACTGTACTTCCAAAAGCAGATTCCTCAAAGGTAAGAATACATTGGGGGGAAAAGTATGAAACCTACTTGTTTGAGCAAGGTTACTCTTTACAAGAAAACATCAGAATCTTCTGAATTCGAAAGGAGTTGAGGACTCTAACCAAATTTTAGTGATGTTTTGATTCCTGGACTTAGGGCTTTGGCTAAACACAAACATTCAGTGATTACTCAACAGGTGCGAAATCTTAGGACTTTTAGACAATCAGGGCTATTTTTGCTGAACCACACTTTGCTTCAACTATTGTTATAAATGTGAAAGTTGCATTATGATGAATGTGAACTTGCAGTTTTTAATTGAAGCAGAAGTTACTGAAAATTAGCTAAAAAAATTTAAAAGCTAGTATAATATTAGAAATAAAATGAGGTTTAAAGCTGATTATGTTTTTAGACTAAGCAAAGTTAGGGATAAGGCATTAACACTCTAAACAAGCATTTCCCAAACTATCTAAACTATGTTAAGAAAATCAGTATTTATAAACCCAAAGAGATGCTAATGTTCCCTGGACAACTCCAAAGTAGTGGGGAAACTTGGTACTTTTTTTTTGGTCATTTCAATAGACCTTAACTCATCTTAAGGGTATTTCAAATGTCATCTCTAAATGTGACTTATGTGTGAGGTTGCTCATGCACCATGGAGAAAATTCAAATGTAGATCTACTATGGTGCCAGCAGAGGACAAACTGTTCCTTCTTCCAAGAGTAGTTTCCAGAGCAGTAAGCAAGTAAGTTTTAGGCCTTTGACTAATGAAAAACTAATTTATGTAGAAATATGCAATTAAAAGTATCTCCTTTTCTCACTATGTTCAACAGTACTTTCACAACATAGATGCATCAAATAGAGGCCTACTTTTTTTTGGGATTTGTTATCTGATAACTGGCTTTCCTTTCCGCCACACAGGCTAAGAATAAAATGGAAACTGAAAATTCACATTTAGTTCCTTAAAAATCAATATATAACTGACCCCAATTTCTTAAACTGAGCACTGAAAAGGAAAATCAAATGGTTGAAATCACCATGAGTAGCTAGGCTGCTTTTAGCAGAAGGGGTCTGTCACTCAGCTCTCAGTACCCTAGTTGTACTCACCATTTGATTGTGGTTCTAAGATTAGGCTGGCTGACTGTGCTGTCATCTAGAAATATTGTTGAGCATGAGCTATACTTTTTAGTAAGCTGCCCTGGAGATACCTGAAGGGGAAGGGAAATAGAAGAAAATGTCACAGTAAGTTAAACCTATAAAATGTGGTATTTTTCCTTGGTTAAACTGTCAAATGACAAAGCATTACGGTATTCATACACTTCATGAACTGCCTAGTGCAACGCATGTGTGGCTCTGCAGGGAACCCACTAGAGGCTCTTAATGTCCACAGATCACATATTTGAGGAATGGGTTATAAAATGTTGCTCCTTGGTACAGTACCTATAATCAAACCTGGCAAGAAGCTATTATCAATTTCCTTCACAAATTATTTTAAACTATATGATTGTTTAAAATACAGTTTCAGTATTTTCTCTTAACAAAAGGTAGCTGAGGCTTTTTATTTCTTCTACACAATAACTATAATAAAATATAAAGCCTTATTTAGTAATATTGGCACAAGAGCATCTTACTACAGTAAATGAAAGGTGACTATTGAATTTCTTAGTGGGCTGAAAGTGTTCTAGAGTCAGAATATCTGTGGGCCTGGGCTGCTCAACCACTAACAAGCCAAATGTCACAGAGGTCTCTGGGCCAGTTCCCTTAAGCTTTAATACTCTCCCATCTGCGAACAGAAGGCAAAAACAATTAGGGGAATTTAACTTTCATTTTATGCTAGAACTAGTGCCATTACATTCCTTAAGAGAAAATTTCAACTTTTTTCCCTCTCTAACGATATTTAGCATATATCACGACACCTTCCTGCTTCATGCTCCCTCTGCCTGGATGCCCTTTTCTCCCTCTGTCTGCCAAATTTGACCCCATCTCCTTTCCTTCCAGTATACCTTTGCCAACAGCTACATGACAAAATGTTTTCCTTTTGGGCATACCTATCCTCTCAATTCACTGCTCAAAGGATAATGATATCCCCTCACATGGATCTAAGCTTCTCCAGAGGAGAACTCTTAATGTTCCTACCTCCAGCTGCTGAACACAGAATCTGAATAGTTTAGGGAGTCCAATAAACATGTGACATATTATTAAGAATTATAGGGCTGGGCATGGTGATGCATGCCTTTAATCCCAGGACTCAGAAGGCAGAGCCAGGTGGATCTCTGTGAGTTCCAGGCCAGCCTCATCTACATAATGAGTTCTAGGCCAACCAGGGCTACTAGCAAGACCCTATCTCAAGCAAGCAAAAATAGAGGGCTAGGGATGTAGCTCATTGGTAGAATACTTGCCTCACATGTCTGAGGCCCTGGATTCATCTCCAGTGCGTAAAAATAATACATCAACTATAATTTGGAAGGTAAATCAGATAGAAATCAGTGAAGAACATCTGCACTGGCACTGGAAAGAAGACAATGAGCGTTTTGAGCCTCTAAACTATCTTTAAACACTCTAGAAGTATCCATTCATTTGCAGAGCACGAATGTAACAGGATCAAATACCAAAACAGCCTAGAGTATGTTAGGACAATTTCTTCTCTTGGACCAATGACCAAATCTTGTCACTGAATAAAGATCAACAGCAGCATTCTTTACAATAAATTATCAACAATTTAATGCCCTTAAAAAAAAATTCAGATGTGCCTTCCTTTCCTCCTATAATTAACGGATTTCATTATGCTGTCACTCTGGCCCATCAGTACGTCTCATAAACACAGGAAAGACATGGCAAGCAAACAACCTATTTGAAAGAGCAGAGTATTTAAGAATTGCCAATAGCCCACAGTAAGAAATAGCCATATGGCACATAAGGTAGCATTTTGCTTGTGTCTGATGTTTGACTGCAAAGTCGCTTATTCCTTATTATCAAAAACTCCCAGATGTTATGTTTTTGAAAACCCATTTGAAGATCTAAATTCTCTTACAAGCTAGAAATGTTTTAACTACATGGAAAGCTATGTTTCTTAAGCTATTCAGTTAATATGCACACTTGACATTACCTATGTGTTAAAAGTATATTACTTTTTATAATCTTAAAAGATAAATACAATATGAAAAATGAAACTGTTTCACCGAAAAGATTTTACTCCAAATATAAGAAAATACCTTTTCAGGTTATTGATATAAATTCAGGATCCCAAATCAAAACTGCTGGGATGGAAGGTATTGTGGATTTTGGAAGATTTTTTTGGATATATATACATATATAAAATGAGATTTCCTGGGGACAGGACTAAAGTCTAAATACATTTCTGTTTCCACATATACCTTAATATCTCTCTCTCTCTCTCTCTCTCACACACACACACACACACACACACACAGTACTTTGGTAATTTTACACAGTATTTTTGGCTTGCCTGTTACCTGTCATGTGAGGTTAGATGTGTAATTTCCTATTTGTGTTAAGTTTGCACCCAAAAAGTTTCATATTTTGAAGCATTGTGGATTTCCAAAATAGGAATGCTCAACCTAAGTATTATGAGGTAATATAGTATATATACACCATATATACAAGTATATACACCATAAGAAAAATCAATTCTGACAAAAAAAAAATCTTGGGCCTTCAGGTTGATATTTTTTCCTATTTTCTTCAATATATTTATATATTTAAAAGTTTTATTTTACATATTTTATTCATTTATATGTTTTATTTTCATGTATGTAAGTGTACCATGTGCATGCAGTGCCTGTGGACACTAGAAGAGAGTTGTCAGATACTCTGGAGCTAGAGTTCCAGGCAGTTGTGAACTACCTGATATGGGTGCTGGGAACTGAATCCAGGTTCTCTGGAAGAGCACATGTGTTCTTAACCCCTGAGCCATCTTTCTAGTCATTCATCTATACGTGTGTGTGTGTGTGTGTGTGTGTATATATATATATAATTTTTTCTTTAAAGCATGAATACATACTAGCTTGTCTTTTAAAATATTTTTTAGATGTAAAAATTTAATGAGATGTGATCTTGCAGGCCCCAAAGTACTCATTTAACAAATCAGCAACCTACTGGCTAGAACCAGGCCAAAAAACACCAAATACCGTCCCCATCAGTTTAGACTTCCTGTAAACTCCTGATGACAGCAGAATTAAAACGAGAGAAACAGTCACTTCTGTTACTCACCACCGCCGCCCCCTTCAGGTTACACTACCAAGGGACAAGCTGGATGCAAAACCTCTCTCTACTAACATATAGTAGAGGACATAGCACTCACTTCCAGCCATTTACAGTCTGGAGACTGTGTAGATGGCAGAATTAAATCGCTGAGCAAAGCCTGGAATATAACTGCCAACAGGTAACTTCCTCCTGCTGCTGCCTGAAAACTTTAGAGAACTGCCAGTTATGGTTACCACCTACCATCGCTGGTTTACAGTCTCCATAAACTACACTGATAAACACAAGGATATAAAACGCAAATACTTAAAAACACTAACAGGTAGTTACTAAGAGACAGAGAATAACATTTATCTTTACTCAGCACAAATGATGGAGCACAGAATTTTTGTAATCTTTACAGGAAAGAAAGGGGGTACTTAGTAGACTAAGTTAAATGGCAAAAACTGAAGCCTAATCTTGGTAGCCTGGTTAAGCTACAACCTAAACAGACCATGAAAGGTCATTCACTTTTTCCACTGTGCCTATTGCCTATTTTTTAAACCATTAAAAATATAAAAGTGGGGGCTGGAGAGATGGCTCATAGGTTAAGAGCACCAGCTGCTCTTGCTGAGGGCCTGGGTTCGGTTCCCAGCACCCACATGTCAGCTAAAAACAATTTGCAACTCCAGTTTTAGGGGATCCCATGCCCTCTTCTGACCTCTGTGGGCATCGGATGGGTACACTTACATATATGCAGGCAATACACTCACACACATAAAGTATTAAAAAATATATAAAACTGACTTTCACTTTTTTCTCTGACTTTTTATTAATTGTCATGTTTTTTTAAAAAAAGTTAGCTGGGTGTGGTGGTGCACACCTTTAATCCCAGCACTTAAGCTCAGGAGGCAGAGGCAGGTAGATATCTGTGAGTTTGAGGCCAGCCTGGTCTACAGAGTTCCAGGTCGGCTGGGGCTTCAGAGAGACCCTGTCTCAAAAAAGCCAAAACAAAAACAACAACAACAAAAACTATTATATGTGTTTGGTGGCTATGTAGGTGCACCTGTGTGTGAAGGGGTATACTCAGGAATGTCGGTGCATGCGGGAGGTCAGAGGCTGATTTTGGGTTTCTTCCTTGGTCATCTCTTCATTTTATGTTTTTTAGACAAGGTCTCTCACTGAACCCGGATCTTACCATTTCTGCTAGATTGGACTAGCAAGCCCCTGGGATCTTCCTGTTTCTGTCCCCAACACCAGGGCTACAAGGCACATGCCACCATGCCTGGCTTTTACATAGGTACTGAGAAATCTGAGCTAAAGTCTTCATGCTTGTGCAGCAGGCACTTACCCACTGAGCCATTCTGCTAGGGCCAATTTGTGTGTGTGTGTGTGTGTGTGTGTGTATTTTTAAAGAATGATTGTTAATTAACTTGAAACTTTCTAACACACATTCACAAACACTGAACACTGTAGAACAATGTAGCAGGATACATGGTTTGAAAGATTTTTTTTTTTTTAAAGACAGGGACTTACTATTTAGCCCTGGCTGGCTTTGAACTCAAGAGACCTGCCTGCATCAGTCTCCCAAGTGCTGGTACTAAAGGTGTACACTGCCATGTCTGGTTGAAAAGAATCCTGAAAAAAGTCCTGGCATGTACTAGTTATACATACAACTTTTAAAAGTCTAAATTAATATTAAGTATGTTGAAGTTAACACTTTAAATATAGGGTTTTGTTTTTTTTTTTTTTTTTTTGAGACAGGGTCTCTCTGTAGCCCCAGCTGGCCTGGAACTCACTATGTAGGCCAGGATGGCCTTGATCTCATGGAAGTCCACCTGCCTCTGCCTCCCAATTAAAGGTGTGCACCACCAAGCTCGAGTAATAAGTTCTTTGTAAAAGATTTATTTTTATTTATGTGTATGTGTGTGTCTATGTACTGAATGTATGCCACGTTGTGTGTGGGTGCCTACAGAGGCCAGAAGGTGTTGGATCCTCCAGAGCTGGAATTACAGGCAGTTGTGAGCCACTCAATGTGGGATTCAGATCTGAATTCAAGTCATCTGGAAGAGTATGAAGTGTTCTTAAGCACTGAGTCAACTCTTCAATACCATGGACTGACCACAAACTCAGTTCTTTTCTCTCTTGAAAGCTCATCTGAATTAAAAGCATAAAAGAGTTTATATCAAGACCAGGAACAGGATTAACAGGAATTTTAATATTTGAAAGATGAAAAGTAAATGGGGCATGGTGTTGCATGTCTGTAATTCAAGCACTCTGGAGGTGGAGGCAGGAAGATCAGGAATTAAGACTAGCCTGGGCTACATAAGATCCTGTCTAAAAAGACCAAAAGGTTAAAAAAAAAGACTGAAAGTAGATCAAGGAATAGTAACTGTGGAAGCATTACCCTGGTACCTATGGGGAGTGGATAGAACCAGAATGAGCAGGCTCAGAACTCAGAGCCACAGTATCTTGAAGGGCAGGGAAAAACATGAAGCTGAAGCCAAGGTCAGCCAGACATCTGTGGTCAACTCCAAGTCTACCTGAACTCCCTCATGGATATTCTCTAGAGCAATATATTGAATCTGACCTTTTCTAGACGTCCATATAAATCTCTGAAGGGTAAGGGCAAAAGAACTGCGCTCTGAAAAGTAGAGCTCTGTCTTGCTTTGCCAACTTCTAGAAAGCAAGCTTGCTTGAGGGAAGCCTCTAAAAAGACAGGTCAAGACAACAGGAAAAAGGAATCCATGAGAGCACTAAAACGTCAGAAGCAAATGAAATCTTAAGAAAACTCAATAGAAGGGTTAAAGCATAAAGTCAAGGAATCTCTAAAGAAAAGAAGCTGGAAAATGTAAGAGGTAGAAATTAGACATTAATGTTGAAATCCTGGTCCAGAGGCCCTGTATCTGAATAACAAGAATACAAGAAAAAGCTGGGCATGGTGAGGCATGCCTGTAGTCCCAGCACTTGGGAGGAAGAGGCAGGTGGATCTCTGTGAGTTCAAGGCCAGCCTGGTGAACTCTGGGGCAGCTGGGGCTACAGGGAGACCCTGTTTAAAAAAAAAAAAAAAAAAAAAAAAAAAAAGAAAAAAGTAGAGATATCCCTGTTTCAAAAAGACAAAAGAAAAAAGTAGAGAAAATATCAAGGAAACACAAAATTATTTCATAAGAAATTGTTAACCTACCTACGGCCCTGAATAAAAGTAAAAAGTCTATAGCAAAGCATATGAAATTTCAGAATCCTAGAGATTAAGTACTAAAAGCTTCCAGAGAATGAGGAAACTGGGATGTTAATGTATTGCACAATGGCAACAGATTTTTTTTTGGGGGGGGTGGTACCCTGATTGTTAAAAGCAACACTATAGCTGGGGGTATGGCTCAGTGGTAGCGTACTTGCCTAGCATGTGTGAAACCCTGGGCTCAATCCCCAGTGCCATAAAAACCCAAAAGAAAACAAAACAAAAGCAACTCTAGAAATGAGACTACAAAAGGGAAGCATCTTAAGGACTGTGGAAAGTAGTTGAAGCTGGAACTCTATACTCTATTAACAGGAGGAGTTTCCCACAGGCCAGATCACTGCAATACCCATGTGCCCCTTCCTGGGAAAAGGTGTGAGAAGACAAAGGGAAAGATAAAATCTAGGGTAAAGGATTCAACATAAAAGGAAGTTATGCGAGATCCTAGGAAAACAGGTGGAAGCAGGCCTAAGGAAAAACCAGCCTGACTGGAGCAGAATGACAAAGGCTGTGAAGGGGTGCCTCCGGGAGAAAAATCTAACAGATGTGTTTTAGTTCACAGAAAATATTTTTGATAGGCATGTGACAAATGTGACAACATTCCAGGGAAAGGGAGGGAGGGAGGGAGGAAAATTAATTCTACACACCAAAACCAAGAATGTTGTTACAGGGGGACCTACTTATTGCATTTGGCTGTGTGAACTAATGTTGGCTAGGAAAGGGGAGGTTATTCAGAAGAGGAGGCAATCTCAAAACTATTGAAGAGAATGAATTAAGGGTGTACAAGGAAGCAGCAAAGTTAAAAGCACCATACAACTTGACAATTAGCAATATTTGTGTATAATATAATGTAAATATTGACTTATGTATGATTTTAAAAAATATGATACTGAGGAAATGGGAGGGAAAATATGGTCATAGTGGAATTAGGAAACTGAATTTTTACCTATTATGATGGGAAATCAATAGATAGTATTAAACTTGACTTATTAATGTTACTTTGATTAAAAAAAAAATCAGACTAGGGGTTGGGGATTTAGCTCAGGGGAAGAGCTTTGGCCTAGCAAGTGCAAGACCCTGGGTTTGGTCCTCAGCTCTGGAAAAAGACAAAAAAAAAAAAAACAAAAAAAAAAAACAAACAAATCAGACTAAAAATTAAGGCAAAAATTTCAGGCATGTTTTTATACTATATAACCATGGAAACTTAAATGTCAGAATTCCCATTATATTTTCTAGAAATCATAGCAGACTTACTTTTAATTCAAACAACAATTTCTTAACTTTTCAACTACTTACATGGTTTAAATGGTTGCTCTTCCTCTTTTCACGCACTAAGAATAAAAAAAATTAACTGATCAATTCTGATACAAAAATTAACTGATCAATTCTGATACAATTCTGATTTCCCTTAGGAAAATAAAGTAGCTGCTACTTATCTGATGATTACCAACATGCACAATAAAATTCAATTCTATCTTTAAAAATAACTTCCAACAAAATTAATCTGTCAAAATGAACTCCATAAAGCAAAATCTAAAAACTTCATTTTACTTGTTTAACATAATCTAGTGGGCACAAATCAGAATGGCCATATACAAAAGGAAATGACAAAATAAATTAGGTCAGGTGAGAAATTCAGCCAATAAAGTTTACCTGTTACATGTCAAAGCCACTGAGCAATAGTTTCAGCCTTCCATTTACTGTCATCAGCAGGTCTGACAACTGACAGCTCCAAGAGCCAGCTTTTGGTCAAGTACCACACACACCCACTAGAGGCATCCTGAACCACCTTAATGATAATCTAGTAAAATGCATTACTAGAAACACTAATTGGTTTTCAAATTATTGGAAATTAACCTGTCTTAAATTTAGGTTTTCAAATGAGCGTGCTAACCTAATTAAACATGACAGCTATAGCACGTCAACTCATTTCGCTCTAACAAAGGCCAGAAGAGGGACCCAGCTAGCCAGCACTCCTGTTAAACTCTAGACGGCGCTGTAGGCCCACATTTCTTCCCACTGATGAGAGCTGGACAGTATTTCTTTTAGTAGTTCTTCACACTTTACATGTGAAAAGCCCACAGCTCATGAAGAGAAATGCAGGAATACTAACCAGAAGTTGACAGTTCAGGACAGGCAAAATATAAACCAACTATGAAAATGTAACCTTTTTTTTTTTTTTTTTTTCATTTTCCTAGAAGCAACCTTTTTTTAAAAAAACTGGGTTGCATTTTCCAATTATTATTACAGAACTCTGACTTCTTATATTCTTGTTGTCATAATCAAAAGTTGTCACGGGCTGGAGAGATGGCTCAGCGGTTAAGAACACTGACTGTTTTTGCAGAAGACCCAGGTTCGAATCCTAGCACCCACATGGCAGCTAACAACTGTCTGTAACTCCAGTTCCAGGGGATCCAACAGTCTCTTCTGACCTCTACGGGCATTG